ATTGTCCGGTAGTGTTTTATTTTTTATTTTTTATTTTTACAAATTGGAGTGATTTGAGATTTGAAGAGTGTTTACATCTTAGTGAGACGCACCTAATAAAAATATAAAAAAAATAATTCGTGAAAGAAATAACCAAAATACCCCTGACTTTTTTCGGGGGTATTTTGGTCAATTTATTTCATGTAAAATATTTTTTTATTATTTTTTTGTAGATTCGCCTATTTTTTATGAACACACGTTCCAAATTTCAGATCATTCTGATTTGTAGAAAAAAAATGAAAAATGAAACACTATGGACAATCGTGATCGTGCGATGAACTTTGGACGATATGAGGGTAGGCGAAATCACTGTTCATTTTCGCCTATAGGCGTTTTGCAGTATCTTCTATATATATATATATATGTATTTGTGTGTGTGTGCGTGCGTGTGTGTATTTGTCCTTCTCTTTGTTATTTTTCCTGATTTTAATAGACTTTTAAAGATTTTTCCTTTATTTTTTGAACCTTTTTTTAGCCACTCGGCCAGGTCGGTGGCTGACTTCTGCTGCCAAGCCAAGTAAAAAAACATTGTTCCCAACTAGAGGGTGTGTACTGTGCGGTTATGTGATTTGCCAATTCTCTGGGTTATTTGGAAGGAGCGTAATGGTCGTATCTTCATAGCTTAAAGATTCCTTACAAGTTCTAGAGGAGAGGGTTAGAGATATGATCATGCATCCAGTAGGCTCTTGTTCAACTTGTGTTTCATGGCTCTAGGGCAGTTGATTTCATTAGGGGTAGGAAGACCATGGGTTCTCAGGACCTGTTCTTTTTAGGCCAAGAGCGATATGGGTTGCCCCCGAGAGGTATTTGATTAAGTTGAACCTTGATGGTTGCTCATGAGGGAAACCTGGGCCAGCTGGACTGGGTGGGATTTTAGGGATACAGAGGGGAGGAAGAAGAAGAGCTTTTGGGCCCTCTTGGCATTTCTGACTTGATGATTTTAGAGGCCAGTTCTCTTACAAGGTTGTGGATTTATCCTTTTAATATGGGTCCCTTGTGATTCTATAGAGCGATTGCCTAAATGGTATTAGGTGGACTGGGCACCTCTCATCCATGGAGAGAGGTTTGACATTTGTAATGCTAAGAATGTCCCCTTTATACACATATACTCAGAGACACAGCTGGTGTCTCTTGGAATAGCCTTGTGGATATTTAGTAGAGTGCCTTTTGTGATGTACTTTTTAATTTTACTTTTCCACTGCCCTTCGTGCATATATTTTCCATCAGCCAAAATTTATTATCAATCAAAAGAACAAAAAGGAAAAAGATACTAAGATTGAGATTGTATATCTGTAATGCTGACGGAAGAAAAAATAAACATATCTAATAACAAAGATGTATATAAGAATCTGTCTTTATTGAAAAATATTGAGTGATACACAGCAATGCAAAACATGTGAATAAATTTGGTTGTTAAGGTTTCAGGCAGTAGGTAAGAGATCTGTGTAATGAGATTTGGTTCTTCACATCTAGATGTGCTAATCCAGGGTTTGCAAACATGAACATGGCAGGGCCCGAGCTGAGTGACATGGGTGAGTCCCAAGTGCGGCTCATCTGGAACTCGCAGGGTCTTAGTAACTCAGGCAAGTCTGAGTCAGATTATCCGAGTTTTGAAACACTGTGTTAAACACAAAACCTTAGTTATGAGATTATAATCAAGAATGGCTTGTTGTTAAACAGCCGACGGTAACTGTTTACTTTTAATTGTTCTTTCCTTCCATGCTATTTTTACAATCATTGCCATTTTCCGTTTATTGTGCTTTATTTCTATGTGCAGACCCTGGTTTTCCTTTGGTTTGCGTTATCAGGTTGGTTGTTCAGATTCCTGATTCTAGCAACATGGGTTCTGCCATTTGCTGCGCCTTTGCTCATTGGAACTGTTGCAAATAATCTTGTGATAGAGGTATTATCTTTTTCAATCAATTTCTTATGGCGTTCTTATTTTCTTTTGACAATACCTACAGAAATGACCTCTGTTATTTGACTATAAAACTTTTATGTAAAGGATTGTTGCAGTATAGCATCTCTGTTTTGATGGTGTTTTTTTTTATAATAATATTGTAGTGAGGTAGGCACATGCAATTAAGTTTTTTAATGTTCAAGCTTGAAACAATTACATCAAATGAGTGAATTCCTGAAAAGATCAAGTGTTCATTCTAATGATGCTCTTGTTTAACTGGCCATATAATAAGTGATCTATGTGCATCTTGTAACTTCTTTCTCTGGAAAAATAAGAATGCCTTTGCTGTTGAATTTGAGCGGCAACTAAAGAAAATCCAAAATTTTAACTTAAAAGGAATGTATATTGCGAGTGTGTAACTATAGATTAGTGGAGGAGATTGATAGGGCTGGCTATGGTGGATGAATGGGGACAATGATTGATTATAATACTGATGGCAGACCAACACTTCAATGATATGCAGAATGAAAGAAACATAGGATTGAGAAAAGAACAGAACAGTAACCCAAAAGAAACAGCTTTCGTGAAATATTCCAAGAAAACAACTAGTTCAGAGAAAACATAACCAAAGAGTGAATTTTGACGCTTGAACTTCTGTAATTTGTTACTATGAAAGTAGGGATAATGATATGAAATTTCTTGATTAAAAAGTTATAGTCTGCTAGCTTAGTGATTGAAGAATTTCATTGGTAACAAATGGAAATAAGACATTGTTTTACTAAGCAAAAACCATTATTAAAAGTGAGGTATTTCGGGATACCTCTATTCCTCTCTCTCTCTCTCTCTCTCATCTAACCCATACTCAAAAGCTTCTGACGAGTGGAGAGCTGTGTCCAGCAGCTTCCACTAAGTCACAAGAACCATTGGTTTATTGTGTGTTGTTCTTGAAATCTCGATATTCCTTTTCATATCAGTAATTCCTACTTATCATATTTCTTGGTAATTGTGGTTATCTTTGGCATTAGTCTTCAAATTCATTATTTCGTTGAAAGCTAGTTTTCAAATTTGTTATTTTCGTTGAAAGCCAGTTTTCAAAATTTATTATTTTCGTTGAAGGCCAGTTTTCAAATTTATTATTTTTGTTGAAAGCCAGTGTTAGCCTTTAATTTTATCATATATGATTCATAGGGGGCATGCCCTGCTTGTAAGAGGAGGTTTATGGGGTATCGGAGCCAGGTGATAAGGTGCGTCAGTTGTGGAAGCATAGTATGGCAACCAAAAGATCGCTTCTCTCGAGGCCCTTCTTCCTCTTCATCTTCTGCAGACTCTGATGTCATTGATGTTGAGATAGAGGAGAAATGATGAATTTCTATGCTCTATTGTGGGGATGCGTACAACAGCTTTGCAAATTCAGATATATTTAAGAAGACAGCCATGACAAGGCGATCCTGTAAATTTTTGGCAGATGACTCTAATAGAGTGATGTGAAGTTCCTGTCACAGTGAAGAACAATTGCCTGACTGGGATCTAGGAGGATAGTTGGGGAAGCATTCCCCATGGTTGAAGAACAGGTACAGATATAGCCAGATCTCTCTTTCTCTCGATTGTTTTTCGTATAATGCAAATTGAGAAATGCCATGTGGAAAGGAATTTATAGTTATGCTGTGTTTCGTTTGATCTGTACTTTGTAGCCATATCATGTCCTGGTTCCTTTTCCCCATCGTCGAGATGAATTACATTTTCCCATCTTCAGGATGGAAATAATCTGATTTTCTTCCTGAATTTACATGCAACTTGTATACCCCCTGCAAGTATATTGTATTGTCAAATCAAATGAAGGAAAAATCTGGGTTTTTCATGCTTGGAGATCCATGCATTTAGGGATTACACCCTATTTAAAACTTGCAAGATTTACGTTTACATCCCCTGTGAGTTGTGCAATTTAAATATTATGTTTTGTTTTATGTTTTATGCTCATGTTTATTTTTCTGTATTTTTCATTTATCAAAAAATACCGTATGTTCAGAATTTCAAGTTTTGAACTGAGTTCTTTTTTTCTAAGTGAAATACTGTTTTGGAACTTAAAGTTTAAAACTGCTGATCGTAATTTTTTTGGAGTGATAGACCAAGTCGGAACTCCAAGTTCTGAACTGTATCATCTGATTTTGTTCAGTGAAATGCCTGCTTGGATTTCAGGTTCTGAAGTGTTTATCACCTTACTTATGAAAATAAATGTCTTAGAGAAGAAGGATAGCTGGTTCTTGGGGAGCATGGTAAACTTAGAAGCCAACAACTTCTTTAGGGTTATAAGGACCTTTTAAACTACATTTTCTTAGCTAAGCTACCATCATTCTATAGACAGACCGGTGATCTGACTGCCATTTCTTCTCCTTTTGTTCTACTTCTTCCATCCCGCTCTATGCCTTCTGTCAAACAAATATTCGATGGCGGAACTCCAAGTTCTGAACTGTATCATCTGTCTTTTGTTCAGTGAAATGCCTGCTTGTATTTCAGGTTCTGAAGTGTTTATCACTTCACTTATGAAAATAAGTATCTTAGAGAAGAAGGAATATAGCTGGTTCTTGGGGAGAATTGTAAACTTAGAAGCCAACAACTTCTTTACGGTTATAAGGACCTTTTAAACTACATTTTCTTAGCTAAGCTACCGTCATTCTATAGACAAACAGGTGATCTGGCTGCCATTTCTTCTCCTTTTGTTCCACTTATTCCATCCCGCTCTATGCCTTCTGTCGAACAAATATTTGATGATGGACCGAAAAAACTCGTAACGATGGGAAAAGGTCTCGTCGAAGGAAGGCCCTTCTTTTTGTTGTTTTTGCTCTGGGGAGCCGAAGGAAAGCCCTTCTTTCCTCTCTCTAAGAGAATAAAAGTCTAGAATCAGGGCTGCCTTTTTGTTTTAGGCCAATCACGATTGAGCTTAGCTGTAATGGAGTTAAAGGTCAGTGAACAATTTTTTTGTTTTTAGAAAGGGTGTGGTTTGTATAAGGCCGACGCTCTAAACAACCAAAGTAAGGTGCACCTCCAAATAGTGTTGATAGATATCGTTTCAATACCGAAAATCTTTATGATGCGTGAAAATTTATTTTCTTCTCTAATTGGTAAAGCTTAAAGCTACAAAAATAGTGTAGATCAAGCATATCTGTGAACACTTGAAAATTTTGCAAATTGGCTGTCTAGATAATGCATTACGAGATGCACTATTTCAAATTAAAGGTTTTCTTACGTCCATGTATCCCAAGAACGGGATGATCAGGGTTGAGGGTTTTTCTATTGAATTTTTGAGGTGCGCCTTAGTTTTTGATTGTTTGGGTCCTCAAGTTTCCTTTTAAAACTAGTCATCTAATAATTTTCAAGTGGATTTTAGGATTAAAAAAAAGAAGCATTTTGACGACGTGTACCACTAGCAAGACAAGAGCATGGTGAAATTGTTAATTTGCAGGAAGAAACTAGGGGAAGGGTGCAGGTACGCACATTTAAGGAGATGACCAACTTACTAAATATTCCTTTTATTTTTGTTGGCTTTTAGCTTTTTGGTTCCCGCATATAAAATGTAGATCTTTTTTTTAGAGTTTTGTGATGTACTTTAGAATCATCATATAATTAGAAAATAGTTTAGGTTTTTTTATCTAAACAAGTTTCTTGTTCAAGATTTCAATGTGTTCTTACAGGAGCACGCTATGCTTCCCTTGAAATGTTTGCGCTTAAGTGCTAGATTTAGAAACTTGACGTGCCAAACTGGTCTTTCATTAAACAAGGGACACAGGTTTTGGTGGGTCAGCCAACTCGGTCTAACTTCTATCTCTAAGATGGATGTCAAAAAATGCTGGATCTCCTAAAGTTAAAATGGACGGTGAAAAAAGGAACTAAAAAAATAATATATTTTTTGAAAAAAAAATCCAAATTTAAATCATTGTCATGGTTGAGATTTTTAAACCCTAAAATTTTGGATAAAAAATACATTTTTGAGATATATTTCGTAGGGAGGCCGCACAAAAATAGTGAGTTGGCTGACTCACCAAACAATTCTCCTTAAACAAAAGAAATAAAAAAGTACAAGTGACACCTAGTTGGGGACTTGAAGTTCCAAAAAGTCTTTCACTAGAAATGAAAGTGACCTGAAAGTTCTGAATTGGTATTTAAGTAAGAAAAGTACAAGTGACCTGTATAGAACTTGAAGTGGGTATTTTGAGAAAAAATAGGCATTAACAACAAAATAGTTCATAAACATAAAATATAAAATACAATGCGCAATTTTTAAATTCTCTTAAAACTATTCAATATTTTGCCTTGTTTGCTTATTGTATAGATTCGTTCTGCTTGATCATGTTAATTCAGGTCTATATAATATATTAAAAGCACCTGAAGAATTTCTAGTTAAGAACTTTTCTTTCTTAAAAATAAATTAGATAAATGTTTGGCTAGAGGAAGATTATTGAAATGGCATATATGGTTTAATCAATTTTCTTTTGCAGTTGAACATCTTTCTGGAGAAAAGAATTGTTTGCTAGATGTACTAACTAGAGAATTGTGTTTCATTTTATAGAATAACTCCATGGATTCATAGGAGTTGCCAAAAAAAGCAGAAGATAGAATTCCAAAAAATTTGACGAAGGAATCTCTTAATTCAAAACATTACGAGCTATTAATAAATTTAATAACTGGAATTCAAAAACGTTCTCATAAGGATATCTGTGAGAATACAAAAAAACAATTATTGAAAAATTATCCAAGTATAAGGATATCTCGGTACTTGAAAAAGTGAAAAGATTTGTAGAGGAACTCGTTGAGGTCATTCTCTCAGAAGAATTCCAAGAAAGTTCTGATCATATTTTACTAACAAGAATTTTTATTGCAAGAATCTTTGGAACATCTTCCAGATTAGCTAGGATGGCTGCCAACGGAAGATTTACTAGAAGTTTGGAAAAAGAAAGAAAAAAAAGTGATAGAAACTGCAAAAAGTTCGGAAAAAGAAAGAAAAAAAAGTGATAGAAACTGCAAATCGAGGCAAGAGAAAAGAAAAAAAAAGATAGAAACTGCAAATCGAGGCTAGAGAAAGACAAAAAGTGATAGAAACTGCAAATCGAGGCAAGAAAAAAAGTGATAGAAACTGCAAATCAAGCTAGTAACTAAGATTTCTAAGGAAATAAATAAAAAAGAACAAGCGGAAGTCCTTGTAGAAATCTTGAAACATTTTCAAAATGAAATATAGTATCAAGGAAATAGAATTTATTTGAAGAGGGGCGTCTTGGGTTACACCTTCATTAGGGAGAAAATGAAGAATTATTAATGATATAATGAGTTTAAGTAGTGTTTATACTGAAGGTAGCAAGAAGGAAATTCCTAATATGCTGTCAATTTTCCTTAAAAGATTACCAAATCCACTCTTTATGACCTGAAATAACGCATTACCAGAAATTTATCAGGGAGCATTATATGCAGCTCATATCGTATTCGTTATTAATCATGAATAAAGGAGAGTGCTTCCATTTCCAAACTCTAAAGGCCTATTTTATAGAGAAAATAGTATTTTGGCATAAGGGTTTTTCGATATCTATATATGAACATTATAGTGAAGATTGGAAAATTTATCATCAAGAAAGAATAACAATATTTACTCAAAAAAAAGAAAAGAAAGAATAACAATTATTATATCTAAAGGACGGGTTAAAAGAATGAGATAATATGATATATTTTAATACGATTGAAGTAGGTCAAGTAAAAGGAAGTCCCGTGACTAGAAGGCTTCTCAATCAAGAGAGGAAAGGAAGAACAATTATTGGACGAATAAATGATGATGGAGAATGATTTTTGAAAGTTTGGATGATATAGGATTGTCTAATCTGGACAATACGATGGAAGATTATGAAAAAGCGATGTTGTTGGATGCTGTATGAAAAACAATGTCGTCGAGTCCACTTTATGGTGACAGATGATGTTTTCCTTCGATGCAAAACAACAATCAAATGATGCTTTACTTCTAAGCCAAGCAACTAGTGTCGGTAACTGATGTGTATATTAAGGAAAGATAGAAGGCATTCAAAGTAGGAGATGTTAGTTTAAGAGTCTCTTGTAAGGTAGGCCTGAGTGTGTAAGTCATGATATGTAAATTTAAGCTATATATAAAGTTATAAGTGAGATCAATATGTACCTGTAAGTTTCTTGTGTACCAATGGGTTTCTTTGAGTAATAAAATATTTGAGTTTTTGCTATTATGAATTGCTTCATTAGACCTGTATAAAGCTCTTTTTACTTTTATCCTAAAACCTATTCTCTTTAACTCTCAAAACATTCAAGAGTGTGCCGTAAAAGATGGTATTTTTTCAAAAAAAGGACAGTTGTATAAAAGGTAGTTGTATGGATCCATTAGCTTTGGTGGGTTCTAGCCAGGAGTAAAAAAGTTTGCTCTCAGATAAAAGGTAGTTGTTTGGATCCATTAGGCAATTTCTCTTTAAATTTTAAATTCCGAATTCCGCATCGACAAGTTGGTATCAGAGTCTGTAGATAATGCTTGATTCCTATAGAACATTTTAATGAAGACTAAAAAATTTATCATCAAGAATGAATAAGAGTGGAGATGTTTAAATTGTCTTATAAGCAAGTGCACAAAGGCAAAGGAAGCTTCTCATTTATTAAAAAAACCAACACAACATAGGTCCAAACCAAGGCGCAAACCAAAGTGACAAGGTTTCTAGTGAGACTCAGATAAATAATTTGCGACTTTTTCAGCAATGAGTTTGAAAGGCATGATAGTAATTGGAGGAGGGGTCCACGCGTGCTCCTCATCGATCTCATATTGAATGCTTGATTTTATGACCGAAATACCCCCGGGCTTCTCTTGAATTTCAAGCCTAACCAAGTATTTCTTGAACCCAAATTCCTTCAACCCCTCAATTGCTAGGGCCTCCTTCACACGTGCTTCATTGTCAATCTTCACAAACCTCTCTTTGTAAGAGCTAGGCCCAGGGGTCCCTGCCCACCACCACAATAAACCAAATTCAATAGGAAAGGAATTTTTGGATTTATTTCTACTTATAAACGATTTTAAATTTCCCTCTTTCACTTTTTCATCCCCACCCATTATATGTTTATACTGCTAGAGATATATGTGCATTGCTAGGAAGTAGATAAAATTTTACATTAGTAGGCATTTTATGAAATATATTATTAATTTTCAAAAGTAGATGATTCTTGCAATAGATTGTTTTAGTTTTATATTGAGCTTACAAAAGATTGCTTATGGTTAAGGTGCTTCTTGAAGTTTAACATCCTATTTCTCACAAGTGAAAACCAAGCAATTCAATAGAAAATTAAAAAAGGAATAAAAAAACTGAATTTACAATATAACCAATAATAGAAACTTGTAAAAATTGACGTTTTGTTTTAATAATGTAAATCATGTGGAAAGTAAAAATAATTAGTAATAAAGACAATGGAATTTGCAAACGCTACGAAATTCAAAATCTCATTAAATTTAAGACAAAAAAATATTGGAATATAGTTGGTAAACATCAATTATGCCGAGACTTTCAAGTTGTATAATCATGCGGTATTAGTTTCCACCTTTTGAATCTATCTATCAAGGTTGTCAACACTACATGATTCCTGCAAGCCATTTTTCATACCCCAGATTGTATTCATAAATCATAACCCTATAACCACAAGGTTAACGTAAACTAAACTCTATATGGGAGTAATTTTACGATCAACCACTCCTTAAATTAATAAATAAATAAATGCACCCAATATTTGCCTAGAAGAAATAATGTTTAAGATAGGAAATAACTGACCAATTTTTGTTAGTCTCAATATATATATATATATATATATATATATATATATATAGGCAGTGATTTCATACAACGGATGTATCATAGTATAATGCAACAATCTTAAAAAACCATGTTAAGACCATTTGTTTGATCTAAATTTTGAAATATGCACTCTTTTCATTCTAATGAACAATTACAAAAAAAAGAAAAAAAAGAAAATTGAAAACGGAACCTAAAAAGTATATATATAGAGAGAGAGAAACTCAGGTGTAGTTCACATCTACATTTATGTATCTACAATTCGTATGTCACAACAATAGTAAATCATCACAGAAAAGTAAAATAAAAATAAATAGCCCAAAAGAGTGTTACTTTGTGAATTAGACAAGGACAAAAAAGCAGCTGCCAAAAAAATTGATGTAAAAATTTGAAATTCTACAAACTTTAAAGACTATCAATTAGGCTCATTTCACCAAACCCACTTGAACCCACTAATGGCTCGGTCAAATCATTATACAAGTGCATATCATCTAACTTAACAAATCATGATCAATCAACATATAAATATGAGGAGAAGAGCCAACCTAAAAAATGAAAGAACTTCTACACTATGGTAAATACCATTGCATCCACAAGTAAAACAATCTAAAACTTAGATGGGTGAGAATCTAAGTAATCATCTCCAAACTAAACCCAGTAAATCAATAGTAGCTGGAGCAAACACAAACCATGAGCGATGGAGTTCCTAATTGGCTTGTTCATAAGTAGGGGAATTGGGGAACATTGAGAAAGAGATCAGATGAAGATTCTCAAGTTCATGACTTGGTGAGGGAGTAACCACAAGGTGGGGAAGGAGAAACTCATAAGGTTTATCAGTACTTTAAATAAATAAATTATTTTATTTTATGGAAAAAGTGATTTATTGTAACCCTACATAGGAAAATGAAAATATTTTAATTTTTATTCTAAACTACTTTTCAATTCCAAATTAATTTTTATTTTGAAAATAAAATATTGTTCCTTAAAAAATGACTTTTTTTTTTTTTTGTAGTTCAGTAAGGAGTTTTTTAGATATGGTGGGAGTGAAACTCAAGATATCATGTTATGAAAAAGAATGATATTTCTAATCAAAGAAAAACCACATTTCAAAATAGAAACGTGTTAAAAAAGAAAGAAAGAAGGACCCACCGTAAGAATACATTTCTAGATGTATTGACATGCATACCTGTGGTCACCAAGTATCAACAAGTAGATTAACCCTAGAACGAATGTGTCCATATTTGATTGCATACGAGCAGTATGATTCTATGATAGGCTCACCTAAACAATAAGTCATTATAAAAGAGAAGGTGGAAAGGTCCATGTCATGCTATTTAACTTGCTTTTATTTATAGAATTGTATGTTATGAGACTATTTATCATAATTATAAAGAGGTCACAATAGCTCTTGATGTCAAATTGGATGGCTTGGAGCATATCGTAAAGTTTGAGAAATTTTGACAGAGCTTTGAGTCTAATCAATGCAATATTAACAACTACTTGATTAAAATGTGACAAACATAGTGATTGGTAACCACCTCGGACTAAAATTAAATTGTCTCCATGTTTCCTTTATTTATTTACTAGAAAGGACTAAGGTGGAAGCCTCGTAAGTAAATTTCTCCGAAAATAAATATAATAACAAAGGCGTATAAACTCTTTGAAAAATGGCAAAAAACGGAAAACATAAATAGTAGCTCTATACCATGCTCCTAGGGAGTATATATTGACTTTCTCGATCTCCGATATTGGGATCCACCCAAAAACCATCAAATGATTATTTTAAAAAGAACTGGATTTTGAGTTCTTCCATTGTTAAATCTCACTCTCCAAAGATTAGATTGTCTCTAATCAATCGTGGGCTATAATATTTTTCAGGTACATAGAGAGTTCAGTATGATTTCTTTTTCTTTTTTTTTTGTGTTTTGTCTTTATTATTTTTGTTTTTTGTTTTTGTTTACAGGAGGGGCTACATTCCCCTAACCAGGGTCCTAGGACATGGACCACATATCTCTTGGCTATAAATATTATCCCTATAAAATGTTGAATGTAGAGAGAGAAAAGAGAAAACACTATAGCTACCATAAACCAATTCATATTTTGGCTACTCTCTAAGAAGTTACTTTTGCCATACACCTTATACTATAAGGTGTCCTACCTTATACTATGTAAGTAAAGTGCACCTTTAGTCGGAAGTAGTTCCAGAAATATTGCGAATGGCTTGAAAATCTATGTTAAACCTAATTATAAAGTTAAAATTTTTAAAAATAATGTAGAACAGGTAGATCTATAAATACTTCAAAAACTTGAAAATAGATGGCCCCGATAACTTGATGCAAGATGCATTATTCTTAGGACTTAAATATTTTTTTTAATATCCACATATCTCGAGGTTGAGATAATCAATTGAAAAATTTTTCAACTCCAAACCCTTTTTTCTATTGAATTTTTGATGTGTGGCTTACTTTTGCAGTATAAAGTTGCAACCTTATATAAATTTTTTCCAATTCTAAAAATATTAATCAACTTTCTAGAATTCTAATTTTTGTACCCAGTGGCTAGAGTTCTTATTTTCTCGTTAAAATTTCAACTTCAAATAATAGTCATCAGCAATGTTTTTAAACTCAGCTCAGGTCTCGAACATGCCCCTAGCCCAGGCCCAAGTAGAGTAACTTAGTCGAATAGTGTACAGTGCCTAAAAGGCCCTAGAAAAAAAAATTAAAGAACATCAAAATTTAAATAAAAATTATAAAAGTGAAACGGAGTAAAAAACAACATAGAAAGTTCAACTAAAATTAAATTTTAAATAAAAATTATAAAAGTGAAACGGAGCCAAAAATAACATAGAACGTTCAAATAAAATTATAAAACATGGATTTAGAAAACTTAATTTTACAAAAAATTTTAAAAAATGTAAAAAAACATAAAAATAGGATGTATGACAAGAAAAACTCATTAATCGTAAATGCCCAAAATTCCAAAATCACTTGCTTAAGATTGCTTAAGACAGTGGATGGCCAATCTCTTTAGCCAAAAGATTTCGTTCTCCTGCTGGAGTATACTATCTATTTACTCTTTCAGGTAAAATTCAATGTAATAATAGTAAGGAGCCGATTTCTACGTGGCGAAGCGCGCATATGTGGAAATGCGGGCCTGTTTATAAATCTATTTTTCAGAATGATTTTTGGACTTAATGTTTAAAGATATGTAATATCTAATATGGAGATCATGAATATAACAAAATAAATAAATTTTAGAAACTAAAAATAATAATTATATTAAGAAAACATTTCAACGATTAGTTTTTATTGTTTTTTGATGGAACGCTTTCTTGCATCCATCTTTAAGATGGATGCTTTAGACTGCATATGAAACAATTTTCCTAAAAGTAATTCTAAGCTCCAAGTTTTTGGATGTATCATTTTCAACTCACAAACTAACCTCATAAAAAAATCTGAATTGTCTCAAAATTAAGCTAAGACTGTTCAATTTTCGACGGGTGAGATCCAAGTGTCAAAATACACTTAAAAATTCAATATTTTCCTTCTCAAAATAATCGTCTGGTGATTTTTAGGTAGTTCTCAAATTTTTTTAAAATGAGGTCATCTCCCAAATAAGTCTTTTGCGAGAAGGAGTAAATTTATGGATTTTGCGCCCGCAAGAACATGAGACATGCTATGTTCTGGTGAAAAGGATTGACTGAAAAGGCAGGTTGATTAGGTTAGGGTAGAAAAATACCAGGTGCGAAGCATATGTGTATGACGGTCCCCTCGGCACCGTCCCCTTCCAAGAAGTGTATAGCATTGATGATGTTGGGTATGAGCTTTGGGATTAGATTGCCAAGCTTCCCTGTACCATACACATCCCACAGTGCATCAGCCGATATCTTCACCTGCAACTCGTCCCATACCAACCCCTCCATTTCCCAAATATGCCTATGCCTCTGCCTCTGCCTCTGCCTCTGCTTCTGTAGAGAGAGAAACTAAGAGATAGAGAGAGAGAGTTAAAGGCGTAGTGACGATTGGTGGAGAATATAAAGGAGTTTCCTCGGTGTGTATTCTAGTGGCGATATGCGGCCAAAATATTTCATATGCCTGTGAGAGTATACAGTCTATCTGCTCCCTCGGACAAACTTATATTAGGAAATTTATTTTTTTTTTTTTTTTTTGAAACTTATCAATTTTTATTTAAAAGGCTAAAAAAAAATTACAGAGTCCGAGAGAGCAGCCTTCTATGACAAGACCCCCTTTGGCAACATAACAGTCAACTCATTGGCTTTAAGATACACATGCACAAAATAAAAGAAAAAAAAAGCCTCCATAAATCTAGAATATGCAACAACTCCAACCTTAAAGCCCACAGGGCACATAATTTAGGAATATTTTTTTAGACCTTGAATTTTCGAAAATCGAACTAAAATGGTTAACCCAACGTGGGACCAGAAGCGGTAGTTACTCGATACTAACCGATAAACCAATTGGTTCAACTAGCTTAATTGAACAAGTTTTGGGCGGTCAAAAAAATATTTAAAAAAATATAAAAAATATAAAATTATATTTAAGGCATTATTCAACAAAACAAATCCAAATGAAGTTGAAAATTAATGAAAATTAGATTTTAAAAAATCAATTTGTACGGGAATTTTTCAATTTTTCTAAAAAATATGAAAAAAAATGTACAAATAAGTATTAACGGCAGAAACAATTCCCACTCCCTTATTTTTTGTGATTTTTTTATTTTTTTAAAATACCCAGTCGGTTCACCAATCGGCAGTTCTAATCCAACCGGACGATTAAAATTTAAATGGCCTGCTTTTTCCTACACTGATCCCTAGAACCAACTTCAAATGAAAAGAAAACAATTTTGATAAGCGCCTATAAACAGGCGTCCCATGATTCTACCGGAACCACATAATTTTCGGAGGGAATGATCTAGATTTAATTATAATAATAATTAGATGAATACCAGAATTCTAAATAGAAAATATCTCTCGATTTGGTATTTTGCGAGTAAATACGACGGAGCATACTATACGCGCTCGTATTCAAGACGCTTGTGTATAGGAGTGGTTTCGTAGGGTGGGTCCCGGAGGGTAGGGCATATCTTTTGTCTTTATGGCGGTGGGATGCTTTTGCAAGGCAGCATTATTGCTGCCACTCGAGACCTATGAATAACGTTCACCACAGCGTTATTTATACTGATAACGGATTATTGTTGTTCCTAATATGCGTGGTAAGAAGCTGCTTCTGAGGTGAGAAGGTATCGGGAAAATAAATAATGGAATATAACGGTCTTACCATTTGTCTGGTTGCAATAATCGAAACCCTGCTCTCCAATCTACAGTTTTGAAAAAGACAGCTTTGAAACTCGAACCATTTAAAAAACGGATAGGGGTGTATTCCCCCACATAATTATGAAGACAAAAATAAAAAAAATGAAAATAGTCAACGCACCATCCCTCCCACCTCATCCGCGTCAGATCCCACGTGAATTGTATATCTTAATAGAAAATTGTTTCATGCTGGCTGGATTGCATTTCTACAGTGTGCAGTCAAAAGATATAGAGCAGCCATCTTAAAGATGAATGAAAATAAGTGGTTCATTTCAAAATAAGTGTAACTAAAATTTTTAATGTAATTAATATTTCGAATCTTCATTTTTTTTTTTATAGCTATGTTCTCCGATTATATATTCTCTAAAAATTAAGATAAAATTATATCAAAACAATATATTTATCGTCAAGCCCGCATTTCTACAATATGCGGGCTGTCTGCATAGAAACTGGGTCCTATCTTAATCGAGATTATGAATTTGAGGGAATTGGCATTCCGTATGGATCATAAAAAAATTTATATAGTACGATAAACATGACCATAAAATTTTTTTATATAGTACGATTCACATGATCCACTTGATTATTTAATCAAATGGCCGGATGATGATGAGAGAAAATGGTTTATACAAATGACTGGGACCCACTCCTTGCATCACCATCCAATAGATTGTCAACACTTTTGCGTGGTAGCAAATGGGTATGGGCATGGAGCCAGGAGACCTGTTTGAAGAAAGCATTGTAAAGGGGTGGCTTATATTCGGGTGATGTTTGCATAAGGCAGGCTTATACAAGGAAGGCACACTACTAAATTTTGCCGGACAAAATAAACTGTCCAAAAAAACGTGTTACGATATATACTTTTTTTATGACTTGAAATTTTTTTTTTTTATTTTCATATATCTGGAGGCTGAGATGATCAATTGGAAGATTTTTCAACTTCAGAATATTCTTCGGTACTGGATTTTTGAGGTGCACCTTACTTGTATAGCATAAGGTTGCAACCTTATAAAAACTTTTTTTTTGTTTATGTTTTGTCCTAGGTGAAGTGGGGTATTTCTTTATTAACATTCCTGAGCAGCGTTGTTATGTTCGCTTGGCTTTAGCTGAAGAGCGGATGAAGTTTTCGGATTTTTTTGTCTTGGTTAAATCAACGCAAAGCACCATACGTATTGGAGATGGTCAACTTGTGGATTTCTGGGTAAACCCATGGTTATCAAAAAGTTCACTATGAGACTCTTATGGTATGACTGTTCATCAAAACCTTGAGGGTTGCTATACCAAAGGTATCTGATTATATTAGAGGGTTTTCTCAGTGTTGGGTCTTACCCGCACCTACATCAAGAGCTTTGACTCAGATATGGCAGGAGGTTGGGAACTTTATCATTCCATTACAGTCACATATGGATTTTCTTGTATGGATTCATTATGGGAGTGGACTGTTCTTGACTAAAGAGGCTTGGGAGTTTATTCGGGACAAGGGCACACCGATTTTTAGAACTTTGTGGTCATTAAAATGTCACCCTGAGCAAAATATTTCTCTTGGTTGGACATTCATTATCGATTGCCCACTATGTCTCTCTTACAGCAGCGTGGGATAGCAATGGCTCCTCCTATATGCCCTTTTTGTAAAAACAATTATGATAATCCTTGCCATCTATTGTTCATTTGCAATTTCTCGGAAGCTATATGGAGATCTCTTGCATGGCGGTGTGGTAAGCGCTTTATTTCTGGCTCTTCTATTCCTATTATGTTGAGAAGTTGGTTATCTTTCAAATTCAAATCCAATGGATTCCTCAATATTTGGGTTTCTATTTTCTTCACAACTATTTGGTTTTTACGGGGGAGCGCAATCAGAGGGTTTTCTAATCAAGAATAATCATGAGGGAACAATTACTTCGACATATCATTTCTCATGTTCATGAATTAGCTGCTGCTAAGTCCTGGGCATTTCATGTGTCAGAAAAAATAATCATTGATAATCTACAGTTCTCTTGGCATCAACAGAGGGACCAGATTGCTATGCCGGTGGAGTGGTCATTTCCTAGCCCTGATCATTTCAAGTTAAACATTGATAGGGCCTCCTTGTCTAACCCAGGTCGAGCATGCATGGTGTTATTAGAGACTGTGATGGTGCTTTTATTGCAACATTTTCAAAACCTTTTGGAATAACGACCCATAATTATACAGAATTCTATGCTCTAGAAGAATGTCTGATTTTAGCCTATTTGTTAAAATGTTTTCCTCTTCAGATTGAGAGCGACTCAACCTTGCTCATTAATGTTATTCTTGAATGTTGTCGATCTCCTTAGAAGTTATACACAATTGCAGCAAATTGTGGACAACGACTCTCTAATCGTGGATGGTTTATGACCCATATTTTTTGTGAGGCCAACAAGGTGGCTAATATTCTTGCAAAGAGGGTTACATCTCATTTACAAGTCATTGTTTGGCGTGCTCGTCCGTCGGACTTTATTTCCTTGCGTTACTTCATGATTTGTCACAAGTGCCTTGTTCTAGTGTTGTAAAGAAATGAGCTATAACCTTTTTTATTCTTGAGTAATTAATGAAAATCGGGTAGAGGGTTTTCTCCCTCACTGACTTACCCAAAAAAAAAGAAAGAGATCTTACAATTTGAGTATTGTCTTATGAAATAGTTGAGCATAAACTTGAGCGAACTAATTTTTAGATAGTAACCACTTTGTTGCACATTTTATTGATATATTTATAGTATTCTGTTTTTCTAACATTTTTAAAACATTATACACCAAAAGACTGTTTCAAATGAATTTGCGGAGAACAATAGATACAAAAGAGAAATGTGCCATTTTTTAAAACTTGTTTCGAAAGAATTTGTGGAAAATATACGTCAAAAGAGAAAGTGATAAAATTAAACCATGACACTGTTTTGTAATTGAAAGGTATTGGGTTTCTGCTGTTTTGAACTACAATTTGTCATAATATTTGGATCCCAATACGAACCGTTAGTAAGTCTTAAATTTTGTTTTCTGTTTGTAGGCTTTGAAGACGATAAATTGTGAAATTAAATTGCATTTTAATTTGGGGTAGTGTTTGGGTTATCTTAAGTTCAATGCGAAGATAAATACATAAAGCGCTTAATAAGACTTTAAATGACACTTTGACAGGTATATTCATGTATAGAGCTTTATTTTATTCTAGATCAATAAGTTCCAAGGTTCCCAAAGACACTTTGTTAATTACATTCACTATCTCTTACAAGCAAGGAGTAAAAAACCTATGCTTTATCAGTTACAGATATATCTATTGGAAGCACATAGGTAATGCAAGAGATATCCTTCACAAGCTTGATTGCTACTAATTTAAGTGTGCAAGCATCCATTTCTTAAAAGCTCTAGGTCTTCCCACTTGACCTTTCTCTCAGTTCCTCCGCACAATCAGCTTGTTTATCTAGTATTTTTATAAGGGAGTGGAGTGGCGATAGTGGCCCATATGTTTAATTGATGAGGAGATATATGTATATGCATAATAGTCACATTCTCACTCAAGAAGATTCTTTAATGTTTATTGAGTCTCGAACATGTTTGACATCATACCTTATCTTGAGTTGTTCAGTACAACGTATCAAATATCATGTTGTTTTCGGCAGAAGCGACTTGATCGAAAGGGGTTTATTTTTGTTTTGTCCCCTTGGCAAGTGTAAAAGCTTGTTTCTTCCCGGATGTAGCATTGCTCTGGACCTCATGGATTTAGGAGAGGATACTAGGCTATTCT